GCCCCCCCCCCCCCCCCCCTACTTCGGGTTTTTATATGTCTGCCCCGGCGTGACGGACGAGTCTCGACCCTCACTAACCGCGAGTATTGCTCGTGTTTTGCTGTCTGGGGGACTGCGCCAAAACCGTCCGAACATATCTCAAACGCACACAGCCGGCATTGGGCGCTGTGCGCCCTGGACAGGCGGAGCACCCACCTCATGCGAGAGACGGTCAGCATGGCGAGGGTGAGGAACTTGTTTCTCTGGCCTATTAGATACGCACCGTTCCTGTGGCACATATATACTGGACTCCGGAAATGTTTTTTTTTTTTAGCGTCGCTCCCATGTTGGGGCCGAATGATCAGGCGGGGCAGCGATGGGAAGAAGGATGTAGTCTGGGGATGCGCTTGCACAACAACAATATGAGCGAGTTTTGCGCAAGGTGGAGCCACTGAGTACTGCCGAAATCGTGCTAGGGACGCGAGGGTTGGGTTGGTGGCTAGAACAACGAGCGGCAACCGAAACCTGAACCGTTGAGAGCGTTCACGGAGGTGGTTCTTCACCATGGCATGATACAACACAAAATACACCAACAAACGACGACGTGCAATGTGTTTTTGTCTTCATTGTGTGGCGTTTTTGTTTTCTTGACGCACGGTGGATCACCTGCCGGGCTAGCTAGACGCCGGGTTTCCCTATTGCTCCTAGTGGGCACCGCCGTGGCACAAAAACTCTATCGCTTGTTTTTTTTTTTGTCCAGGCGCTGTCCATCAACGTCGCTGAAATTCTGAACGACTACAGCATATACGCCATGTTCCACGAGTTATTACGAGAGGCCGGTGAGTCTAGCGGTCGCTGAGTGTCCTTCCGTAATCCGTCCACGGTAATTGTCCGCGGTGATCAACAGTATACGGAACGGTGTTGTGTCATGGGCGCGCCAAAGTGGATGGCAGGAAGAAACAGATGATCGCTGACGATGACGATGAACGAATGCGCCCCGTGGCGGTGCAGGATGTTCACGAACCTTGGGATCCGCAAAATCACAACACCCGCCGCTACGCCAGGAATATTTTCTGCTTCCAACGGTCCGGTGGTTTTGGCTGACCCAGTGCCGCCCCCCGCATCCATGAAACCATCACCGTGTTTGCGGAGTTCTTCCGGAATTCCCGCGCTCGAATCCACATCAAGTCGACCCCTTTTGGTTGAAAGCGTCGACGACCCGCGGCCCTGTTGTTTTGTTTCATTTTCGTCTGCAGTAGGTCATCCACAGCAGCTGGCAGACGTTCGTACGTCCTAGCACGCGTACACATCGTTCCACCGCTCTCTCTCTCTCTCTCGCTCTCTCGCTCTCTCGCTCTCTCTCTGCTTTGCAAAGTCCGTGCCCTGTTGTGATGTATGTTGTTGAGTCTAGACACTAAACCCCATGGATCACCTGCCTGCCTCTTCCCCACGCTCGGCAGAGGCCGGCAACACAATCGAGCCGGTGCCTCCCGCGGAACTCGGTCACCAAGAGACCCCGCAGTACATCCAGGAGATGTCGTCGGTGTTCGCGGCCGTGTCGATGCGGGTTGTGCTTCGGGGGCAGAGCAGCTTTCACCACAACGACGTGTGCGGCCGCCTCTTCTTGACCACGCACGAGGCGAACGAGATGTACGCCTGCGACAACCAGGTACCTCAGCCTGCCCCATTTTCTGCGAAAGCCGCTGCTGCTGCTGCCGTCGTGGGAAAATGACATTGGAGGGGTGGCATACTGTATGGGAGGCGAACAGCAGCGAAGGAGGGCACCAGCGGGAGCCGGGGGGGGGGGGGTGGGGGGGGGGGG